AAATCAACCATCAGTCATGTTGAAGACAGAAAGCGAAAATGAACATCTGGAAGAGGGCTGGAGAACCTGTGGCCCCTACTCTTGTCATTCCCACTGGCCAGGGCAGTATTATGGGAGCTGTAGTCCAGCAGCATCCAAAAGGCTCTGGGATTCTCACTTCTCCTCTTAAGGAGAGCCGTGCTTGTACGTTTATACCAAGAAGCACGGCTCTCTCTAACTATCTAAACACTGCCGCCAAGTAGCACCATTTCCTTGGTTATATTTCAACCAAACCTTCTTGTCAAACAACTTTAAAAAATGGTTTATGTTGGACGATGAAAAACCAGATCCTCTGTTTGGAGGAACTAGAGCTAAATTGTTTTCCACGCCATTTGAAATTGGCGCACTTCCAGAGACGGGGTGGGTGGAGTGGGGAGGAATTCAACGGTTGGGAATCACCAGCTCAGAGCTCCACCCGATATTAAAAAGCAGTGAATCAGGGTCCGCAGACAAGCGGTCTTGCTGCTTCTGATGCCTGCCAGCTGCTGGAACGCCTGCAGAACAAAGCCAGTTTTCCTAGAAATGTTGTCACTGTACCAGTTATTACAAGAACGTTTCATAACGGGTTCACTGCAGGTCTGTATCCCTGAGTTTATATTCAGCCACATGCTCAGAGTTTTGTTTGTTTAACCAAACATAGCCAGACAGGGTTAGAAATGGAGGGCTTTGACATATCTTCAGTTGCTGGGGGCGGGAGGGGGGCATTCAGTCATTTACTCCCTGGGTAACTGCTTTCTAAGAACAGGAAAGAGTTGGGCCTACTGGATGGGATTTCTTGCTCTTTTTCTTTGGAAAGCAGATCTCCCTGTATTGCATTCATACAAAACATACGCATAGATCGTCTAGGTATGGATCGGACATATGGAACATGTTGTGCTGTTCTGTTAATGCCAGTCTCAATATTTACGCTTCTGCCAAGGGGGATTCCAAAGATGTTCCTTGGTGACAAGCCAATTTACTGAAGATTTTCTGCAAGCCACACAAGGAGAGACTACAGCTCCTGGATACTGTTTTAGGTTTCTAATACAGCTTTTGGTAGTTCAGTATCTGGTTTTTCTTGGAGATGATGTGCGGACAAAGATGCTAGATATTGGACCAGAGATTTTCTGAAGGCAAAACAGCTGCTCGGCCCATGAACAATATGGCTTCATTCAGTGCAGAATCTTTATTTTTTTTCTTTGTCGTCTTTGTTAAGTTGAACAGAATATACACCACAAAAATCTGTCTGTCTCATACTCTAGGCCAGTGTTTCTCAACCTTGGCAACTTTAGGATGTGTGGGCTTCAACTCCCAGAATTCCCCAACCACCATGGGGAATTCTGGGAGTTTAAGTTCACACATCTTAAAGTTACCAAGGTTGGGAAACACTGCGCCACTTTAAGATGAGTGGACTTCAACTCCCAGAATTCCCCAACCGCCATGGGGAATTCTGGGAGTTTAAGTTCACACATCTTAAAGTTACCAAGGTTGGGAAACACTGCTGAGGCCAGTGTTGTCCAAACTTGGCCACTTTTAAGATGAGTGGACTTCAACTCCCAGAATTCTGGCTGGGGAATTCTGGGAGTTGAAGTCCACTCATCTTAAAAGTGGCCAAGTTTGGACAACACTGGCCTCAGCAGTGTTTCCCAACCTTGGTAACTTTAAGATGTGTGAACTTAAACTCCCAGAATTCCCCATGGCGGTTGGGGAATTCTGGGAGTTGAAGTCCACTCATCTTAAAAGTGGCCAAGTTTGGACAACACTGGCTTAAGCCATCTGTTTGCTTCAGGAAGGCATGTTGGATAGCATGCTTCTCCCAGTGAAGCATTCCATTTTATTCTATGGCCATTTCATGCAGGAAACAGTAGTTGGGAAATTTCATCTGCAAACAACAGATGGAAGTTTCTTTTATCAGCGGACATCCCAAAACAGATTCACATCTTATTTT